CCCCCCAGATGTTTCAAGAACTAACTAGTAAGCAAGTACAGCCAGAAGGTCTTAGCTAGCTGGTTAGCAGGCCATGCTGCTTCAGCATCTCCTAAATTATTCAATATTTAGTGTAGTGACTGTTTCTGGCCAACAGGGGGCCCCTTATCTTCAGGGGGCCCACATAAATGCGTGGTTTGAGTGCCACTGACTGTCAGTATGAATGGGGAGCTGAAACAGGAAACAAAGCCCAGAGCCCCCCTCACAGCATGCCGTTTGGCTCTGACATCATCGATAAGCTTGTCCGTGAACTCGGTGCCTCCCTTTTCCCTGACTCCCCAAGGAGCGTGCGGTATTGCGACGGTCCGTCTCCATGGCGATGTGACCCCCCCCCCACCGTCTCTCTGCAGGTGGCGTGTGCATCGCGCAGTCCCTGAAGATCCCCAGAGAACCCAAGCAGGGCGAGTTTGACAAGATAATTCTGCGACTGCTTGAGACCTCCAGCGCCCGCGCCGTCATCATGTTTGCTAATGAGGATGATATCAGGTAAGGTGAACCCCCCCCCCCCCAGGGCTCCACCGCGTCTGGGTGCTGGTGGGTTCAGTGCGAAACCTCTGATCGTCAGACCCGCTGTGGTTCCGCCCGGCCTGGAACAAACGCACTAGGCTGGATCCAGCGGAGCCCACGCCGGGAGTGTCACGTCTGTATTCGCGAGGCACACAAACTCAGTTTAATTATTATCCCCTCTAATCACAGGAAGGTAATTGGTGAGTTGCTGAGACGTGCCAGACTGGAAGTGAGACAGCCTTGCGGGGGGGGTGGGGGGAAGCGCATTAATCTTCAGATGGTTATATAACCAAATGTCAAAGGTGGGGTTTGAGAAGCAATGACATGGGGCAGGAGCATAGAGGGTGTGTCTGTGTGTGCGTGTGTGTGTGTGGTAGATGGCTGAGTTCACACACTCCGTTCTAACTTCCTCAGGCGGATCCTTGATGCTGCCAAACGCAACAATCAGACGGGTCACTTCCTGTGGGTGGGCTCTGACAGCTGGGGTTCGAAGATCTCCCCAGTCATCCAGCAGGAGAGGGTGGCCGAGGGGGCCGTGACCATCCTCCCTAAGCGGGCATCTGTGGACGGTATGTAGCATGGGGGGGGGGGGGGGTGTGGAGGGTGTAACTTGGCTCCTCTCTTGGCCTGTGAATCCCACGTCTCTGTGTCGTAAGAACCTGTCTCGCCTTTTCTTGATGAGACCTATTTATATATGAGTGCCGGTTAGATTAGAAAGGAGGAGGATTAAGGAGAGAGGACTAAGGAGAGGGAGAGAGGAGAGGAGTGAGGAGAAGGCAGAGGAGAGGGAGAGGAGACAGGAATGAAGAAAGGGAGATAGGAGTTAGGAGAGTGGGAGAGGGGAGAGAAGAGTGAGGAGTGTGAAAGGAGAGGGGAGAGAGGAGTGAAGAGAGAGACGATAGGGGAGAGAGGAGTGAAGAGAGAGACGATAGGGGAGAGAGGAGTGAAGAGAGAGACGATAGGGGAGAGAGGAGTGAGGGGAGGGGTAGAGGAGTTAGGAGAGTGAGAGGGGAGAGGAGTGAGGAGAGAGGAGAGAAGAGAAAGGGGAGAGAGAAGTGAAGAGAGAAAGGAGAGGCAGGAGTGGAGTGAGGACAGTACGTGTGAGTAGAGGGGAGAGAGGAGTGAGGAGTCAAGAGAAGGAGAGAGGAAAAGGGAGATGGAGTGAGGAGACAGAAGAGGGAGAGTATTAAGGAGAGGAGAGAGGGTGGGAGGCGCGGGCGGCTCGGCGCTTCACATTGTGTCTCTCCATGGCCCTGATGCTTCTGTTGATCTTCCGTTGATTTTCTCTCCAATGAGTCTCCTCACAAGTGCGCAGTGGAGCACAGCTGCAGGAGGATTTCAGCCCCCTTAAGATCCACACTAGTGGGGAGGGGGAGGGGGGAGCTTAGCCGGGGGATTCCCTCTGTGCCGCCGGGGAGGCAGGCTTCCTCTTAAACAGGATTAACCCCAGTGGCTGTACACCGCTGATAGCATTGACTAGAGAGCCGCAGAGCCAGGGATGTGAACCAGGACAAAGTGTCTCTTTATTCAAAGAGTTCTGTGAGACAGTGTCTCTAGATACATCCAAGGCAGCTCAGGATAAAACATCACCTACAGCAGAATATTAAGTATGCAAATGAGCCAGACTTTACTTTTCATGTTGTGTTCATGGCCACAGTCTCCACTGTGTCCAGGAATGGACAGACTGAACGAAATGGAATGTTCTGGATGGACTTGGTGGCATGTTACAGGGGGAGCCTGTGATTAACTGTACTTTTAAGGGGGGGAGGGTATGGGGGCTTTACAGGGGAAAGTGTTCTCGGCCACTGAAGAACCGGATCTCTGAAGCACAATAACGTTATGGTCCCCCTCACCCCACAGCGTTTGACAGGTACTTCAGAAGCCGATCCCTGTCCAACAATAGGAGGAACGTGTGGTTTGCGGAATTCTGGGAGGAGAATTTCAGCTGCAGGCTGGGATCGCACGGCAGACGGCCTGGAATCCTGAAGAAATGCACAGGTGTGTCCTTTGCCGCTGGCCTGTCTGATTTGTCCTGCTTCTGATTGGTTGATATTGCTGCCGCCTCAGACTTGATTGAGTTGAGGGTCACATGACCCCTGTGCATGGCATTCTGTCACTGGATGTTCATTTCGTGGTTACAGGAGTGATGTGTGAAGTGCCGCAAGAACCAGAGTTAGGGCCTGATATCTGTTGCCTAATTTTCATGAAGGGGAGAATCCTTCAATACTGAACAAGCTGTAATACTGATGTGGCTGTAAGCCGTTAAATTGTCTTCAGATGCAGTCATCTGCTATGGAAAACAATGGGTTGTCATATAGTGAATCTTCCAGAAGTTATGGCACAACGGATGCCAGTTATGACACGCAGAGCCCAGCCTAGTCCTCGTTTAGGGAAGTAAACATCAGAAGAGGGTCCCTCGTGTGAGAAGTTAGTGTGTCTGAGCTGCGTGAGGAGGGCGACCCCTCCCAGCGGCAGGAGAAGACGCATGTGCTCCTTAGGGAAAGGAGGCGCGCAAGCACGCCCTCCGAGATCCCCGTCTCCCGGGCGCTGCACGGCCTACACAGTCTGCTGACAGTGGGGGGGGGGGGGGGGGGGGGCTCGCTTTGTCAGGCGGCTGGCTTCTGGCAGGGCGCTGCGTACGGCCGTACACTCCTCCGCGGACACCTTGTTTTTAGCAGCCGTAGAGGAAACATCATGTACCTCTAACTGCCGATTCCTTCATGGAAAGGTGTGAAACGCGGACGGCGTGCGAAGCGGCCCGGTCTCCCTATGAGAGGATGGTCTCGGCTCTCTGTACCTGAAACAAGGGCTTCTTTACATACGGAACTGGATTTTTTTTTTTTATGAGTAATGGCAGGGAGGGAACCAGCCAATGAGGGGGGGGGGGGACATCTCCATGGGAAAGGGGGGCCCCAACCCCCCCCCCCCCCGCTCTTGCCAAGCGTCACCACCACAGTGCAGTCTGGTGGAGTTTCGCTCCGGTGATTTGCTAAGTCAACACCCCACCAGAAGGTGATGCCCTAGGCAGCTGCCTATGTCGCCTATACGATATAGTATTCGGGAGGGCGAGTCGTGGTCCTAACAGGCCAGAGCGTGTCCATCACAGCTCCAGCCCTACATGCTGCAATTTCGCTTTTGTTAACATATACAATACACCACTAATGAGGATTATTGAGTTCCCCCATCGGCAGAAATGTAATCCACATCGACTTCTGACACGCTGGGGGGAGGGCAGGGGGGGGGGCGCATCGAATGAAGCCCTTTAGAACGGAGAGTGAAGTAGCTGAGGCGGTTTGCGGAATTTTCTTGGGCGACTCACATGAAGGAATCTGGGGCGAGTGTTGCGGGGCTGTTTCACCTCTGTCTCCGCTTTTAATGGGCCAGCGAGTTTCTGCCTGTCAGGCGTAAGTCAGTTTGTGGCGGCTGATCAGGTTATATAACAGAACATAAACCCTGGCATGGACTGTCCAGCTGTACAGGCTGACTGAGCAGAAACGGCAGCCATTTTGAATGGGGGGGGGGGGTAGTGGGGAATGGAGAAGGGGTCTGAGAAACATCCTAACAAAAATACCCAACTGATCACTGAATAATTAACTCAGGGAGTCGCGGTGGGATGATCTGCTTTTATTACTGAACAGGGATGGATTTTTAGAGCCTAAATAGAAGGAACTATTTGGGCGCCTGAGCTCCCACACCTGGTGGTATCTGCAGAGTAATCACTACGATCTAAAGGCTGAGTCAGCGACCCATCTGTGTTCCTTCCTCTGTCTATGTATGAACCAGGGTAGAGCATTTTTTTTCCTGCAGACTTTCATTATTCTTTTGCCCCTCTAAAGTTCTAGAAACGCGATTACCCATAATCCCCTACCAACTTTATAAGCAGACATCTAGGCTGTACCTCAGAAGCCACTCAGGGTCATATGTTCAGGCCAAGGAGGGTAGACAGTGTTCATTTTCCTGGTAAAAACTAAGACGAAATATACTCGTCAACGACATTTTTTTCTGTGATGAAAACAGAACAAAAACTAAATAAAAAGCAGCTTTAATGACGAAAACTGAAAGGAATATTTTTAAACTCATTGTTGATGAATAATAAACAGAACGAAAATGTTACAAACAAACAACCGGAGAATGAGTGATGTGACCCCCTTTGCACATTTCTATTACACATTACATGGTCAGGTCTGTTAGTTGAATAAAACCCCGTTTTTTTTGCTCCTTCTCCTTTTCCCTTGTCCTTCTTCCTTAACTGCATGACAGTCTGATACTTGATAATGTTTTTGAGAGACGACACTTGACACTTTTTTTTTTATCATATGAATGAAGATGTGTTAATGTGCAAGTATTTTGTTTGAGACTAAATTTTGGCAAGTAGGCTGCATTTTTGTCAAAGGACTAAGACTAAAGCTAAATCAAAATATGCTGTTAAAATTAACACTGGCTTCAAGCCCCCTGCCGCCAGCTGTGTGTCGATTTTCATTTCTTGATTGGCTGTTGGGGCTCTTGTGTTTTGAGGGTATGAGTTGTGATTGGTTGTAGAAATGTTGGTGCAAGTTCATTGATTGCAAAAGATGATGTTGGCTAATTTAATGATAATGAAAAGAAGCTGGTCTGCACGTCGGTCTGCTTCATGGGATCTTTGATGCACATTTCATTTTCAGTCAATTTAAACACTTCCATCTGTTTTATACAAACATCCTGATGCTATATCACTCTACATTTTTTGGATATACAGTATTTGAAAAATATTAAAAATCTGGGCTTTTCTCCATGGTTTTGTAGTAAATAAAGTCTCTTGTTAATACAGTTTTTATTTAGGGCCTTGCCCTCATTTTTTTCCCCTCATAATTTACAACAAAAATTCCAACTCACCCCCAGGGTCAGACCCAGTGGCAGGCACATTAGGCAGGGGCCTGGGGCCTGGGGCCCGGGGCCCGGGGCCCAGGGCCCGGAGTCCGATCCGCACAAAGGGGCCCAGACAGAGTCATGAGAAAATTATATCCTACATAATCATATATAATTTGTACCATTTTAAAAATAATAAAAAATAAAACCATATACATCTAATCAAACTTCACGTACAAGAAACGGCACATCTTTGGCACAGTCATCTTGATCCATATTCATCTGTGTTCATCTCTTCACCTGCTACATCTGCCTCTGCTTACCCTGCTTTGGATTGGCCCAAACCTCCTTAACATCCTACATAGAGCTACATCTAGGGGTGGGTTCGTCGCTTCTGCAGTCCCATTAAATTCGGGGGCCCCCATACTGTAGTGACTCTTTGTGGCCTTCAGGGGGCTTCACACAAATGCATGGCTTGAGAGGCAGTAAACGTGTCTGCTCTCTCAATGACAGGAGCCATCGGTGACACGCAGCCAGGGTGTTTTGACACTAACCACGTATGTGGCCAAGGGCGTCCCCTGTTTCTTTCAGCTGGCAATTATCCTTGTGACACCTGATCTACGCTGGTGATAAACTAGTATTTTTCTGACCGCAGTCCTCACTGATACCAGCTTGAGACATTGTGCCACTACAGGACTGCAGCCGGTGAGTCACGTGCGCTGACGTGTCATCGCCGGCCCGCCGTCTCGGAGCTGTCTGTGGTGCACTTCCTAAACCACGCCCTTAGTGCTGCATCTAATCCCGGCTCAGCTTCTAATTAATTAGCGCTAATTGATGGAGCAAACGGCACAATCCATAACGTAAGGCCTGTCACGCTGCGACTCTGCGCATTGCAATCGTATCCTGGCCGTCCTCACACCTCCAGCGACCAAATAATGGCTTAATTAGTCTATACTGCAGTAAAGCCGCACATCTTCAAAGACCGCAGTTTGAGAAAGCATGAGACAGGATCGCTGTCCATGCATGAGGATATCCACCAGGTACTGTATGTCCTGGTGCAGGAGATGCAGCAATCACCGTGTGCCCTCCCAGACAAGCAAAGTGACAGGGACCTTCCAGTTGCCATCTTGGAAAGGAAATACTTACACACCTACGAGAATGATAGTGTTTACACTTCCAGGGTGTTAAGGAGAGTATTAAGGGGATCAGTCATTAGTCTCGATTAATTGAGTTAATCACTGAATTACTGAGCGTAATGCGTGTCATTTAGTGGCTGTGTTCATAGTTCCCTTATTTCAAAATGGGGGGGGGTGTGGTGTTTATATCAGCAATCAGATAGTTTAATTACTTCCTCTTGGTTGGAAACAAGGCAGATTTAGATAATCAATGCAATTGAAGCAGATTGTTTTTTTCTTGTTGTTGTTTTGATAATATTAACCTCATAATCATTCCCGCGGTGCTAATTGATTTTGCCAACACAAACTTTTAAGAGTGTACAAACAGAGTGCAATTTGGAGGTGTTTGAAAAGAGAATGTTTTATCAGTGGATACCTCCCAGTTAATATTATCTACTAAAAAAAAAACCCTACATTTTAAATAGTGGTTTTACTGTAACTCCAGCTCTGGAGACATATAAAGTGAAAGACAAACATTTTGGTGTGTATCTGAGGTACTTAGACAAGGCATATACAAATTTCCACATCCTATGCCTTGAATTCTGCAAGAAATCTGCATCCTGCCCAGATATACAAAGCAGAGGCTTTCGTTGCGTCCTTCCACACAAGGAGAAATGTATCTCCATGACCTGCTGATCCACATCCAGTCGTAAGACTCCCTCTCCACCTTCAAGAAACACCTCATGACCCATATGTTCCAAGAATTCATCTAGTAGCCTGATACCACTTCATGTTCCTGAGAATGTCCTTAATGTTGCACTGCTGGTCATTGAATAGCCTTAATGGCTTCTTCTTCCTTTGTCGGAAGATGTCTTGTAACTCTTGGTCCTGTAGTGCTTACACTTGTAACTCGCCATTCATTAGAAGGTCAGCCCAGCAGTAAAGTGTCACTGAGACACATTCATGGTTCTGTATGGTTGTTTGCAAAGGCACTCGTTAATACACAATGCACACTGTCTACTGAATTTGGTCTGTTTC